GAAAAACATTCTGCATCATCGGAAGCAGAATCGCAGAATCAGTTTGTCAAGCGCCGATGTACAGTGGAAAACGCGACTTGTTTTCATGGTACGCATGTTGACTTGGGCAGCACATGTCTTGGTACAAGTTTGGATCCACAATCATGATTCAGTACATTCAAGCCCCATTCAGACCGAATTCAAAAAATGTGAATAAAATTGCAATCTGTCAGAAACGGCACAAGTTGTGGGAGAGGCGTGAATGAAACCCATGGAGACACGTCTGTACAAATCGGCACCCCGCTGTGGGAAGCGGCTTCAACCCCAGCACCGGCGTGTCCAGTGCATCTCGTCGTGTCCCACAACGCACGGAGTTGCTGCATCAGAATTGCTCCTTTATAGAATCTCCTGACAGGCAAGCATTTTTGCCATGTCTCATTTCTATGTTTCCAAGGCACGTCGGAGAACGGTTTGCAGTTGTGATCTCTACCCGCGCAAACAGCACTAGCAAGTGAACTTGCAATAGACTTTAACTGCTGGTTGGCAACAAACCGGCTCCGGCAGTGGAAGACGGAGTCTGAAGACCCCTTGAAACATTTTGGGCCATCCAAACACACCGTCTTTGAGCTTCAAAGCTGTTCATAGCTGGACAGTGTGGCACCAATTTTCTGGGCCTCAAATTGTTTCAGTGGAAACCGCTGAGAGTCACCCTTCACCAAGAGGTTCCAATGCCAAACAAGGTATTCTGATACCGAGAGGAAGTACCTGATGCCGGCATCTGTGTTGTCACGTCTAGATCAACACTGTGTAGCCTTCTAACCTCCTTAGTCCTCGTTTCCCTATTCATAAGATCTAAGCGTCGACTTCAACCATGAATGTAACTCGAAGTATCTTTATTCAGCGCCCAAAAAATTGTGAACACGAATCCCCAAAAGAGCTACCACCAATGCCATACATATTGTCCTTTTGGCATTCCTCACCATGGTTTCGAAGAATCCTAGACCAAAGGATGCCCATCCCACAGAAAATTCAGGGTGCCCTGTTGATCTCCTCGGAACGCGAGGGGAACAGGGGAGGTCGGTGCCAGGTTGACGACAGGACCAAACTGCTCCAAAACCTGGCTTCTAATGGTGCTATAGTGGCTGTCCCAGTGGCTGTCCCCGACAAAATCCCCAAACCTCCCTCCACACGCGCGCAAGTCTCTGTATGAGAGCGCCCATAGTACAATCATTCCAGCTGTTCTTATGCAGGCGCCAAGCCCACATAGCCCGAACAGTGAAATTTTGGGCTCTGCAGCCATCAACCACAGGAACTAGGAGACATTAAGATATCCTGGCCTACGGGTTCACTTCTTGCTTCGGAAGCCAGCTAATCAAAACCAAGAACAACATAACCAACTCCGATTGGTGATTGCATTGGTGATCTGAATGCAATATCACTTGCATCAACCAGCTGTTTCTACTTTCCCTAAAGAAAGTCATCCCAGGAATTGAAACTGAGAAGAGTTTTCAAACAGCATGGCATATCTATATGATCATATTCTTCAACATTTTGGTCGTATTGATACTCTTCATGTTGCCAAAAACCAATTGACAGCATGAGTCCTGCTTAGAAAGGGTGCTATTAATGCCAACGGGGAAAGCACGCTGGGAGTGGACCTGGCATCCAAGTTCCACCCAACGATGACATTGGAATGTGCATCTAGTCACTTTAGGGTGCTTCATTTTCACCCCAGAGCAATTTCTAGAACCAACACAAAGACATCACGGTCATTCTGACTATTGTTAAGTCACTCTTTTAGTTGACCAAAGATAATGACCAAGGATTCATAGATTAATGGATAGAGAGAAAACAAAGCTTGGTACAAAGATAGATACATAGAAAGATAGTTCTGTAGCCATCAACTACCCACGGTTTGGAATGAAGTGGAGTTTCACCTGCCCCCCTTCTCTGCTCCTGCGATGATCGCGGCATGCCGATGCTGGTGGGTTCAGCTGTACAGGGGGAACCCATGAGCCATCAAAACACACCACGCCGCGCGCGAGCGCTGAAAGCAGGCAGCTCTAGGGTTTGAGGCGTTAACTTTTGGGGGGAACCGGCAACATAGAAAAATATAGAAACATTTCAGGAATTTGCCGTGAATTCCGATGATTCTAAAGAGTCACAAGTGAATTTTCATCGATCGTTCTGGGCCCCTTCTGGGCCCCGTCCAAGATCCGCCGACCCCTGCCTAGCCTTGGCCTAGGCGGGGCGGCGCCAGGGATCACCGTAGGTGTGCGGCATGGCCCTGTGCCGGCTTTGGCTTCGAAGGCTCGGAACCTTTCCAAGTTCCTCTAGCAGCTTTCGAAGGCCTCAGAACCTCACAACCTTCCGCAGCAGCTTTCGAAGGCGTCCCACTTGCTTTGCCATGGTACCTCCCTAGGCCCCACAAGCTGTTTCTATTGGGCTTCGAAACTGCTACGTGGCACGTTTTGGGCAGGCCTTAAAACCCTCAAAACCTCCGCAGAAACTTTCGAAGGCCTCAGCACGTCACAACCGCAGCAGCTTTCGAAGGCGTCCCACTTGCTTTGCCATGGTACCTCCCTAGGCCCCACAAGCTGTTTCTATTGGGCTTCGAAACTGCTACGTGGCACGTTTTGGGCAAGCCTTCAAACCCTCAAAGCCTCCGAACCCTCCGCAGCAGCTTTCGGCCATGGTACCTCCCTAGGCCCCACAAGCTGTTTCTATTTGGCACGTTTTGGGCAGGCCTTAAAGCCCTCAAAACCTCCGCAGCAGCTTTCGAAGGCCTCAGAACCTCACAACCCTCCGCAGCAGCTTTCGGTCATGGTACCTCCCTAGGCCCCACAAGCTGTTTCTATTGGGCTTCGAAACTGCTACGTGGCACGTTTTGGGCAGGCCTTAAAACCTTCAAAACCTCCGCAGCAGCTTTCGAAGGCCTCAGAACCTCACAACCCTCCACAGCAGCTTTCGGCCATGGTACCTCCCTAGGCCCCACAAGCTGCTTCTATTGGGCTTCGAAACTGCTACGTGGCACGTTTTGGGCAGGCCTGAAAACCCTCAAGACCTCCGCAGCAGCTTTCGAAGGCCTCAGAACCTCACAACCCTCCGCAGCAGCTTTCACAGGCGTCCCACTTACTTTGCCATGGTACCTTCCTAGGCCCCACAAGCTGTTTCTATTGGGCTTCGAAACTGCTACGTGGCACGTTTTTGGGCAGGCCTTCAAACCCTCAAAACGTCCGAACCCTCCGCAGCAGCTTTCGGCCATGGTACCTCCCTAGGCCCCACAAGCTGTTTCTATTTGGCACGTTTTTGGCAAGCCTTAAAACCCTCAAAACCTCCGCAGCAGCTTTCGAAGGCTTCAGAACCTCACAACCCTCCGCAGCAGCTTTCGGTCATGGTACCTCCCTGGGCCCCACAAGCTGTTTCTATTGGGCTTCGAAACTGCTACGTTGCACGTTTTGGGCAGGCCTTAAAACCCTCAAAACCTCCGCAGCAGCTTTCGAAGGCTTCTCACAACCCTCCGCAGCAGCTTTCGGCCATGGTGCCTCCCTAGGCCCCACAAGCTGTTTCTATTGGGCTTCGAAAGTGGCACGTTTTCGGCAGGCCTTAAAACCTTCAAAGCTTCCGCAGCAGCTTTCGAAGGCCTGAGAACCTCACAACCCTCCGCAGCAGCTTTCGGCCATGGTACCTCCCTTAGCCCCACAAGCTGTTTCTATTGGGCTTCGAAACTGCTACGTGGCACGTTTTGGGCAAGCCTTAAAACCCTCAAAACCTCCGCAGCAGCTTTCGAAGGCCTCAGAACCTCACAACCCTCCGCAGCAGCTTTCACAGGCCCCACTTGCTTTGCCATGGTACATCCCTAGGCCCCACAAGCTGTTTCTATTGGGCTTCGAAACTGCCATGTGGCACGTTTTCGGCAACCCTTAAACCTTTCAAAACCTCCGTAGCAGCTTTCGAAGGCCTCAGAACCTCACAACCCTCCGCAGCAGCTTTCGGTCATGGTACCTCCCTAGGCCCCACAAGCTGTTTCTATTGGGCTTCGAAACTGCTACGTGGCACGTTTTGGGCAGGCCTGAAAACCCTCAAGACCTCCGCAGCAGCTTTCGAAGGCCTCAGAACCTCACAACCCTCCGCAGCAGCTTTCGGTCATGGTACCTCCCTAGGCCCCACAAGCTGTTTCTATTGGGCTTCGAAACTGCTACGTGGCACGTTTTGGGCAGGCCTTAAAACCCTCAAAACCTCCGCAGCAGCTCTCCAAGGCCTCAGCACCTCACAACCCTCCGCAGCAGCTTTCGCAGGCGTCCCGCTTGCTTTGGCCATGGTACCTCCCTAGGCCCCACAAGCGGCAGGCCTTAAAACCCTCAAAACCTCCGCAGCAGCTTTCCAAGGTCTTTAAAACCATCAAAACCTCCGCAGCAGCTTTCGAAGGCTTCAGAACCTCACAACCCTACGATGAACAGACACGGAAATCCCTGATATCAATACATTCGATTCATTGTCCCACAATCTATGTTTACACTACCTAGTCCTTCAAAAGTTCCATAATATTTGTACGTTTGGACTACTGCACGTGGGGGCCGTTTTGACCGTTCCCCGCCGCTCCGCCCTTGAAAGGGGGTCGGCGGCACCTGGGCGTTAGCCCATTTATTATGAACTATCCTTCGAAAGGCCTAAGATTTTGTTGGTCGAATTTTTGTTGACAGCCTCACTTTCCCTTCGAGACCACCACCATCAGGGCTTCACAGCACCGTTGCACATTTGCACTGGAGCGATGCTTCCATTCCAAGGCTTGAAGCGAAACTCGTCAACAGATCACTTGAATCACACTGACTTGGGGAATTGCCGCCCAAATTTCTACCAAGTCAAAACTTTGACCAGCATCCTATGCCAGGAGTGCAAAAAAAATGGACCTCTGAAAATAAGCTACCCCAAATCCCATGGATGATCATCAATTTCCACACTAGTTGGTACATTAATACATGAACATGGCTATACATTAGGGGTCATACAATTTGTATAAACTCCACATATCAGATCAAGCCTGGGATGTTCTCATTGCCTCCGCTGTCTCCAAAGGAAACTCGTACGAACCTGGGCGCCGCTGCGACCAGGCAACGTTCCATACCTTGGCGGAGGAAAGCCACTCGCTTCAATGGCCATTTGGGATGTCCCCGATTGGAACCAGCACTTGATCCCCCGGTGAAAATTGCTTTCCCCTAACCGGAAGCACAGGAGACTTCAGGAGACGTGAGATATGAATCTCCTCTCCAAAAGATTTTGATCGGATTAAAGTTCCACATTTCCTCTTGGGAATCCTCCAGGTCCTCCAGTGCCAAACTTCGACGAGCAACGTTCACCAAAAACACCAAAGAAAATTTGCAAATCGGAACATCCTCAAAGGCCAGGAGGAAGAGTCAAGGGTTCATCTGACCTTGGGCACCAGAGCTCAATGCTTGGAACACACCACAGTGTTACAGTATTGGCAACAGGTTCTTTGACACACCCAGGCTGCTGGGGGGAAACAAATTCGATTGATACTGCTTAAACACAAACATACAGACCAACATACAAAATCAAGGCAGACTTTTACCACGTTTTAAACCTGTAGTAACCTTCCAATCCATGCCTACAACGAACGGCCCTTGTGGTGACTGACATGGACAGCATCCCGTGGAAAACCCATCCGTCCCCAGCTTTCAGATCAGCGGCAAATGTTCACCTTGGATGCCATGCACAAAACATGGACTCTCCCGCAGCCTTTGGGCTGAATTCACGTCACCATGCTGAACACAACCATGTCTGAAAACTACATACCTCATTCATCCTCATTCTAATCACCCTGCTGTCAAGGTAAGTCTGATCACAGTTTTGTCCTAACCAAAACCCTCAGTGCTTTTGTGCTGCGGCCAAAGGGCACTCCACTCGATACGGATCGCCAAAGCTCGGTTGTGGAACCTAGCAGAGCCAACAAAGCCACGATTGGACAATGATTGCTTGATATGAAACTGATGAACAGCTAACCAATTAATTTCTTGGCACATTGTGACCCACCCTGAAATTCCAACAAAACACAAAGATTGATGGCATAACAAATCTGCCACTACGCCCTCAATGCCTTAAAGGGATCTGGAGCCCTGCAGTGGCTGTGTGCAAAACTCACCGCCACCGGTGAACGAGCTCCTGGGGGGATCGGTAGTCAGCACACTTTCCCCAGTTTGCGACTTCAACACATCCGCATGTATATGTGTATATTGTATATTGTCATATGTACACTATATATGATGTATATATATATATTCATAGATCAATATCGCTATGCAGATATATGTAGATATATCGAGATACAGATATACAGATATATAGATACACATGTATATATACATATATATATAGATATAAAAGCCTTTTTATGCCATGTCTTATCAGCACATGCCAACTCAACCGCAGATCCTGGAAACTGCCGCCCATGGAAGAACTTCGCGACCTTGCCAACCTCCTCAACCTGGGAAGGGGTTGACGGTGGATACCGGGTACCCTGGGTGTATACCATGTACAGTGGGGTTGTAGCGCGATATAACTAGGGTTGCGCCATTATTGTTAATATTAAATAATATTATTACCAACTGGCATGATTGGGAGCAACTATGCGGTTCTCCTGTTCACTACTAACCGGCCGAGGTGATTGGCAAGCGGGGAGATACATACATATAGGCGGTGAAAACTCACCACCTCAGCCAACAAAAAGCAACAGGACAACTGTCATACCCTATCAACCACGATGGATATGGTGGAGGCCAAGATGGTAAAACATCACCTTTCGAAGAACTCGGCATATTTCATCAAACTTTGGGGCTTGCAACCATTCATATGCTACAATTATTGAAGCAGCCCTTCATTTCAAAAGAACATCTCTTGGAACACCCTCGGGCTACCTGCGCAGCAACGCCGAAGATATTTGGCCCAGAGGCGGTTTTTACACGAAGGGGGGCTGAACCAGATCGTTGGCCAATTCCGGGCTTCACCCGAATCCTCAGCGACATCGGGTAGTGATGCCAACCATGCGGATTTGAGCCAAATCTAGACGGTCCAAGTGGTGTCCTGTACGCTTAAAGGCAAAAGAATATTGAATCACAGGGTCTTAAATCACCCCAATACAACCCTAAACTCCTTCAAAGGAACTATCTATCCTACAAAACAGCCATCAACGGGGCAGCATAAATCTGACATAACGCCAAGGGACTTTTCAATGGATTCCATCAAACCGCTCCTCTCAAGAAAGGTCTGTAGCGTTCCTTCGTCGCACCTCATGCTAGGGAGCCGCTGTGGAGAAAAAAATGATTGGTCTAAGAGAAAAGTCTTACAGGGAGCCGTGGTGTTGTTCCCAAAGATAGGGGCTTCCGGGAACTAAGTTTTATTGATGAACATTCAGCGAAATCCCAAAACTTGGGCAAACGGGCAGCAAAAACAATCACATCGCACAGGCGAAACTTCCCAAAGATGGAACCTCAAAATGAACCGATCCACGGTTAAACTCAGGGGCATGTCATTGGGAAGATCATCCCCAAAGAGATTTGATTCTTCTGCAGCATAATTGGGAAGTGTCATTGGCACCCCAGCGAGCATCCTAATCCATCACCACTTTCTCAGCGCAGCTGTGGGATCACGAGTTCCCTCAAGGTCCCTCCCGTCGCAAAATTTACTCCAGACGGAGATTTTGGGGATCAAATACGAGAGCAACCTGACTTCCACAGAGACCAACTTTTGATGAGGACATTCCAGTTTTGTTCATCTTGGCACAACTAGGTGCCCCAAACAACTTCCAAGTGAGATTGCGAAGGTGCAACGTGGTACGCCACTCCTGGTGACACGTCACTTGGGAATGTTTGAACTTGGTGGTCCCCAACTTTTGGACAAGAAATGCCCCCCCAAAACATGGCAAAACTGTTGGGGGAACAGCCAATCAATCAAGTAGTCAAGCAGCCAAGCATCTAGTCTTCCACCCAATCAATGGATATTTGGGAGCTCAGAATGAATCAAGCAACCTCCAAATGTGGATGGTTTCAGATCAAAGAAGTGCCAATTCTTTGGATCCAGAGGACAAGGACTTGACCTTGGAAGCCGATCATCTTGGGATACCAAGCCTCAAATTCAGCAGTTTCAAGGGGTTTCCTCCCAAAGGCAAAAAAACCCAACATGGCGGGACCAAACTCATTGGCCAACGCATTTCCACCGGTTGTCGGGGCTCCTGGTGCCCAGCAAGTTGGTTCCAATTCAACTCATTGAGCTGCCTCAGATGGCTGGGCTCTGCGTGGCCAATTTGATCATACCACTTTGGTCAAGTCGAGAAAAACATGAGAAAAACAGTTCTTTTTTGGTTGAATGCCCATTTGAAAGATCAGAAAGGCTCAGCATGGCAAGGAACTTTGAATAGCTGAATTCGTGGTCTTATGGGTGTGAACACTTGAATGTGGGTCTTCCAAGACAGATTGGGGCCATTCTTGGTACTTGCAATCGCATCTGGGGTTGTCTCAAAATTTGGAACCCCCTTTCACGCCATGGTTTATCATCATTCTCTAAGATTTTGGACAAATGGCCATACATTGAGGATCATTTCCCCATTTTGGCATGGCCACCAAATCTGGCAATGGAAAATCCAGCACTCTTCGAGATTGCCCGTAATTTCTCCACGGTTTTTCCTCCATAAGTTGGGTTTTCTTCTCCTTTCTACCACCATGGCAATCCCCAGCTCCAGTCCATGGCAACCCCCGTGGCATGGTGGTCTCAGTGGCAGTAGATCGATATGCCGTGGCAAGGCGTCGATGCCGCGATCCTAACCATCCAAGTATGTAAGGATGGTAAGGATGGACACATGATGAGTGAAACTACCAACACCAGTCCTATCCCCAAATCATTGCCCCATACTGGTTGGTTTCAATGATATTGCTCCACTATCCACTTGGAGTTGCTTAAGAGGCAAAGATCAAACTCATATTCCCAATAGGTTATCCATTCCTGGTGGATTGACCCGGGAAAAGATCACTGACGGGTGGTTATCGCCACCGGGATCATCGTCCCATTTCGATGGTTGAACATCAACAATTTTTGAAACAGCCAAATCATGTTAAACCATTTTTCCATGTGAATCATCTATATTTTATGACATCCCATTGCTAGTTTTTCTAGCTTTTAACATATTTAAAATATATTATGTGATGATTTTTCTTCGCCATAACATGCCAACTGAACTTCCGTGGATCCGCGTTTCAGTCCTCAACGACCGGCAGGGAGTCCACGGATGTGGTGGGAGTGCCCGTCTCACCTGGAAGCCAAATTTGGGAGATCATCTACATAATTCTAGATCTATAATTATTCATAACCCATGATACTCCAATAGTTCATAATTCTACAATCCATAATCCAATTAGATTTATCATCTCCAACTATTCATAATTCTAAATGGAGATCATCTACATATATATATATGTAATGTATATATATATAAATATGGTAAATGGATCAATTTTTCGTTTCAAGCTTCAATTGCAAATCGGTGGTGACAATTTAATCGCGGTGAAACAACATCTGTTCCCAGCACCCATTTCCAAGTCCTACATTTGTTGCTGGAAAAAATCCCAAGACTTGTGGTAAATTGAGCCATTCCATACGGGAAATAGTCATAGACCTATTTGAAACTGTCAGCATGATATGTTTTCAAATGACAAAGATTATGAGATTATGAGACTAATTGTTAGGTCAGCAAGTGAAGGATGCTCATAGTTTGGTGTACCCATGGACCCGCAAAGAAGAGGTCTACCTTGATCCAAGCTGCCTTTGTCAACGGCTGGGATTTCGATATACGCCTGGACCACGTTTCATGGGTCGGGGCATGGATCGCACATTCCATCCAATTCATGTTTTCCCGGTTCAAACACACCAGTTGGGCGCCACAGTTTCCTGGTCGTCCACTTGCAGTTTTCAGTGGAAAATCCAGGTGCGGATATCGATGGGATGATAGCAATGCTCAATAGATTGGATGATTAATCGACAATGAATTCCCCAAAGAATCAATCAATGATCAATGGAACACGTCAATTTTACCACCAACTTATAGCCATTTCTCAGACGACAAAGCCCGATGTTGGAGCGCCTCCGCCATGCTGCTCCAAACATCATGGCTGGGGATCTTAGTCTCCATGGCCTCGGCCATGGGAAAATCAGCATGTCGTGGAGCTATGTCACAGCACGGCAATGATCCATGGCACGACATGTCGCCGCGCCTGTAATACAGCCACCTCAACTTCTCCAAAGCTCTTCGGTGATTTTGAGCCCGTCCAAGTGTCAGGACCAATGGGACTCTCAGTGGCCACGGCCATTGAAAATCCTCTCGTTTGATAAGAAACGAAGAAACGATGAGTGAAACTAGGCAGTTGCTTGAACGAAATCAGCTGAAAGTTTTCGACAAAACCCAGTTGAACTCACTTGGCTCAGTGCGTCTCTCTTTTTGCCCACCGCCGATTCCCTGAAATGGATCGAGGTGAGACATTCACAATTATCTCTATGTACATCCAGACTTCAAATTCCAAGTGGCCACATCTTTTGATGGATCATTTTTCATCTCCTGGTAGGCCAAAAGTTGCTTTCAAGATGGTACGATGTGGCTTGGATTCCGAAGCCCTCTGCGCTAGTACTGTAGACCTTGGTTTAAGGGTGCCAGTCAGGTGTCTCGCTCGGCTTCGCATCGATGTGGCTGCGACACACAGGGCAGCGCTGCACCTGGGCATCGCAGCTACGATGTGGGTTTCCGGTAGAGGTTTCCCCAATTCAAAAAAGATTCATATGACTATTGCGTATCATAAGTTACCAGTTAGCCCTGTATCCAACTGTAGGTGCCTGATTGTAGGCAATTCACCTCCCAGCAAATGGTAGCTGAAATGGGTTCGCCCCCAAAAAATCGCGTGGTTGATGGTCATTTTCCCTATAAAAATTGACCGTACATCGGGGCATACCCTACTGTTGGACAACCTCATTTTCCATTGTTCATCGGTTAAATCCACATTTTTCGTGGTTAAACCACCACTTTTTGGCCTTTTCTCGTCGTAAAATCAACCAAATCAACGCATCAAAAAAATTGTGCGGCGGTGGCACCTTCACCAACCACTCAGTGATGCAGTCCTTCATGGCCGAAGGAAGCGATACTCTGTGATCGATCAGTCAGCCTATGTCACCTATGTCCAATACGATTCTGGTCCCCAACAACTTTCACATGTTTTCTCCTGATGGAAGACATGGCCACATCGCAGCTCACACCTGGGACAAGCTTGATGGCTACGACATGGGTCGTATGTGGGGGAGCCACCCATTTTGGAGCTCTGAAACAAACAAAAAAAAGTGGCAAAACAACTCAGCTCTAGTTTTCAGTTCAGTGAAAGATCTTCAACGATTTGGTGCTGAGCAGTGTTCAAAATGAGCACAGTCTTCCCTTGATACTGCGTGGTTGAGGTGCTCATAATTGGCCAGTTCATACTCACAAAAAAAACATCAAGCATCACCAAGCAATCTAAATCCTTATGCAAATCACAAATCAACACCATCATCTCTCAATTATTGGATAGTTGCACCACCCTATAATAGCCGGTAACAACCATAGAAACCAGTAACAACCAGCGCTGACGGTCTTCGGCCAACTTCGGGGCCCACACCATGCTGGCTCACATCCTTCCCGTGCTTCCTGGCCCAGTGAAAATCACGTGAGGCACATATGGAGTTAACCAACAGAAATGGAAATTCATCCCAAAGATTGGGAACAGTTCAGACATGTCATGATTTGACGACAAAAAATGAGGATATCACTGGTCAAAAATGGCGATTTGAATCTTTCGTTCTCAATCTTCGAGCACGCCCAGTAAGCAGCTATCATTAGGGCCGGTCAACTGCTCAGGTGAAGCAACCACATTCCCGATTTCATAATGACATCGGAATATGCATGTCTTTTGGATCTTTCAGAATCTTTCATGTCAGTCACAGATAGAAAGTAGAATGGATCTGAAGCCAACAAAAAACGAGTCTGGCCTTCTGGCAATATATGGCAATGGCATGTATGACCTGCGGCAGAACATCCTCTGTGCATCCGACCTCATCTCGAACTCCCAGGCAGATCACACACTCGGCCTGGACCCCGAAATGGCGTTGTTTTGATAGATCAAGGGTAAAGACTCTGGTAGAGACCGTTGAACTATGTTGAACTATCATATGATGGATTCTGATACTCAAGTAGTTTGTAGCTTGGTCTTGTTGCTTGCTCCCACATCTCAATCCCAGAAAAGGCATGAACAGGCTGTTTTCCTTGCCATTCCTGCTTCGTTTTGTTGTTGTTGTTGTTGTTGCTGTTGCTCTTGCTTGTTATGAATGCTCCCAAACTGCCTGTGGAACTATTAGTAAAGGTTTTTGTACGCGCATCCCAAATCAGGTTGCTGAACTGGGAGTAGTATTGAACCAATGAGTCTTTTATTCCATGAAATTGAATGTAAGATCTCTGTTTATCAACTTAAAAACAAGCTAGGAAATATTCAACCCCAAGTCTGGCTGTATCATAGCCTATCACCGTTTTCGTTGTTCCTCTCCCAGTTTGTTGTTTGTTAAGCACATAGGATATCCCAACTTCACATATCTCGCACTGGCGGGTGGCGCCTCTTGCGGTGGCACGCGTCGCACGGCCAAGAACCAGGAGGTCTTAGCACCGGGACAGGCAATCATGAAGGTGAAAGGAATCACATCTTGGAACACCCTCACACGGACTATATAGAGAATCTATCTAATCTAATCGAATCTAATTGAACCGACTAAATCTAAGCTAAGCCATCTAGTCGATCTATAAATCTAACTATCCATATAAACAGACAAGATCTGTACTAGATATATCTAGATATGCAAATACATGATCATACATGATCATACATGATCATGCCACGCGAAACACTGGCGTCTGCATCACAAACGCCTCAAAAAAAGGTCACCCAATTTCGATCATCCCATCACGTCATCACGCTATCAGAATTCCGAGTGAAGCCCCTGTACCGTTACCCCATTCTGCACAGCCGAAAAAAGAAGGGATTCTGGCTCTTTCGGGACTCACATCTCGGCGCACACACAATTTTTTAATTATATAACTTATATACTATTTATTTTTAGAATGGATATATTTAATATGGAATCATGCTTAAAACTAATGTAGGGCTTTTAGAAACTGTTTAGGCTTGGCTTAAGATTTTGATTACGGTTGGTTAAGAGTTTTATTCAGGATTGGTTTGGGGTTTATTTAGGATTGGTTTGGGGTTTGTTTAGGATTGGTTTAGGGTTCATTGACGGTTGGTTTATGGTTTATTATGGTTTATTTAGATAGGGTTGGTTAAGTGAGATCTGCTTTAGGGACGTTAGAGTTGGTTTAAGGTTGGTTTGAAGTTTATTTAACGCTGGTTTTGAATGGTTTTTAGTGTTTAGTCATGGTTGGTTTAGAATTTAGTTAAGGTTGACTTAAAGTCTAATTTGAATTGGTTTATGGTTCATTTGAGGTAGGTTTAGGGCTTATTTTAATTTAAATTTGCTTTAAGATTGCTTTATGGCTTATATAGGGTTAGCTTAGAATTTATTTCGGTTTATGGTTTGTTTCGGGTTTAGTTCAGATTAATTCAGAATATTGAAAATTAGTTATGGGTCCGGAATTGTTTGGGAATGTTTTCTTCTGTCTTTTTTTTGATTTCCTGTTCTGTCCATTTTCCTTGCTATTTGGAGAATTTTGGAGCTGGAATGTGGCATTTCAACTGTATTTGCAGCATTTTTGAGTTCGAACCTCATTTTCCATGGAATTTGCAACATTTTGGTGCTCGACGTTTTCATGGAACATCGTCGTTTGCAACTAGGGTTCATGTAGGCTTGGTTTTAGGGTTAGTTTAGGGTTTCTGCTAGGGTTGGTTTTAGGGTTTTTAAGCGTTGGTTTTAGAGTTAGGGTTTGGTGGGATCTCTTTCGGGTTGGTTTTAAGTTTTTTTAGGCGGAGTATAAAATCTATTTAGGGTTGTTTAGGGTTCATTTAGGGTTGGGTTTAGGGTGTATTTAAATTTGGTTAAGATCTGTTTAGGGTTGGTTTGGGATGCATTTTAAATTGGTTTAGGGTATATTTGTACTTTGGTTTGGTGTTTTATGTAGGCTTGGGATTTATTTAGGCTTGTTTCAGGATCTATCTAGCGTTGGTTTAGGACCTATTAGGGTTGGTTTAAAGTTTGTTTAGGAGCTATTTAGGCCTGGTTTAAGATGTAGTTGGGGTTGGTGTAAAGTTTATTTGGGCTTGGTTTAACATCTTTTTTTATTTGGGGTTGGTTTAGGATCTGTTTAAGGTTGGTTTTAAGTTCTATTTCGGTTTGGTTTAGGATCTGCCTAGAGTTGGTGTAGGACGTACTCAGGGCTGCTTTAAGGTTTTTTGAGCGCTGGTTTAGGATTTATTTAGGCATGGTTTAAAATCTATTTAGGGTTGGTGAAAGGTTTATTTAGGCTTGGTTTAACATATATTTGGGGTTGGTTTAGGATCTATTCAGGGCTGGTTTAGGGTTTATTTAGGATTAGTTTCAGATTTATTTAGGTAATGCTTAGGGTTTACTTTGAATTAATTTAGTGTTTTTCTTTGTTTTGGGTTTTGTTTAGGGTTAATTTAGGGGTTATGTCTATGTATTACATGATGTTTCTTAGGGTTTATTTACAGTATGAGAAACGAAAAGCAGGGAAAAGCAGAGAAGCAGGTACGCAGAGAAAAGCAGAAAGCAAAGAAGCTGGAAAAGCAGGGAAAAGCAGAAAAGCGGAGAAGCAGAGAGGCAAAGAAACAGAAAAGCAGAAAAGCAGAAAATCAAACAAGCAGAGAAGCAAAGAAGCAGAAAAGCAGGAAAACGCAGAAGAGCAGAGAAGAAGCAAACCAGCAGGGAAGAACGGAGAAGCAAAGAAGCAGGGAAAAGCAGAGAAGCAGAGAAGCTGGGAACCAGAAATCCAGAAAAAACTCTAAACGGAAGGAAAAAAACAAAAACTAACCCTCCATTAGTTACTGGTATTTAGGGTTGGTTTAAAGTTTTCTGTGGTTGGTTGAAGGTTTATTTGCGGTTTATTTAAGGTCGCTTTAAGGTTCATTTAGGGTTGGTGTAGAATCTATTGAGGGATAGTTTCTGGTTTATTTGGGGGTGATTTCGGGTTTATTTTGAATTGGTTTAGAATTTACTTACGAGTGGTTTAAGGCTTATTTGAAAATTGGTATAGTGTTAATTTAGGATTGTTTTAAGTCTGATTAGGGTTGGTTTAGGGCAGGGTTAGTTTGGGGTTCTTTAGAGTTGGTCTAGG